GCATTCCTTGCATATTCTGACTATATCTCGGATGATTCTTGGCCATCATATGTACTGCGCTGCGTCTATCATGGCTTTCTGGCCCGGATGAGATCTGTGTAGTCTCGATAAGACTGCCATTTGCAAGCAGGGGGGATGGCGATGCGGTCGTCAATGATGATGCAGCCGTCGACGATTGCAGCTGCATTCCGAACGACTTGATATATGGGTCGATTTTCGAAAATCCCTCATAGTCTCTGCTGAGTATCGCTCGTTTCATAAGGCGATAAGTTGGGTCCTCATCGACCAGCTCTGACAGAATGTCCGCGTCGAGAAGGCCCGATAAACTTGGGAGTGAGTTCCTGTCGTCTGCCAAAACTTTCTTTGGTTGAGCGGCGTTTATCTTGATGACTTGGGTCTTCTTCTTCCTCTGGATGGATGCAACTTTTCCCCTTTTTGCTCAGATTTATCTCAGATTTGCTAGAATTTGGGCTTTTTTGAATTTCAATTGAGTTCTCCTTTCCTTTTTCTGTGTTGGTTTTCTCTGGGTGGGTTTCTTTCTCCTTATTGCCCCTGCCCTTCTCATTGATCTTTTTCTGGCGAAGAGCTCATCTGGTATGGGCGCTACTTCGTTTTGTAGGCGTCCGAAGCTGTCGGTCGTTTGGACTTCTTCTGGTACATTAGACCACAAATCTGAAGAAGTGATGAATTGTTTAGAAATCGGTCGGGTTGATTTGATTGGCTGGTATTCATTTGTTGTTGACGATGGCAGAGAATTTGCAGAAATGTCATGAGATTTAGACAAGAATTTTGCTGAGTTAACACTAGCTTCTGATTGGTTGAGAAAATTGGCGGGAAAAACGCATGTAAGGTCGCCCTCTAGCGGTTGTGCATAAATTACATTGGAGTGATTTGATTTGTTGATAGAGTGAGTATCCTCAAAATTTGCAAATTTGCGTCTATTTTGGCGGGAAAGTACGTACATGATCGGTCGCCTTCTACTCTTTGTGCATAAATTAATTTAGTGCAATCTGAATGGTTGATCGGGTCTAGCGAAATTGTGTCGCCCGCTTCTGTTGTATTGGCAGTATTTTCAAAGAATTTGATATCCCGATCCTTCTTGCTTTCTAAATCTATGGTTTTGTGGTTGAATATGTCCTTATCTGCCTGGTTTATGTTGACAACTGATGTGTATGGGTGGAATATTTCCATATCGTAATTTTCTTTCAACCAAAATTTTTCTATAATGTCGGAAGCTGAGAAGAATTTATTAATCGGTTTGATCACAAACTGCTCGTCAAAGTTAGAAGGGTGCGGTGCTTCAAAATTTGGATAACGGGATAGACAATCGACGATTCCTAGTTTTGATCCGGAGATATGAGATATGTAAAAGTTAAAAGGTAGGAGTCTATCTGCCCACCTAGTTAATTTTGATTGATATGATTTGTTTCCGCGATTAGTTTTCAGAGCCGATTTTTTGCTTTGTGATCAGTAAGTATTTCAAAGTTGTTGCCCAGAAGATAATTCCTAAAGTGTTCACAGGACCAATTTATTGCTAATAATTCGAATTCGTAGTTGCTGTATTTCTTTTCTTGAACGTTGAGGAATCTAGAGGCAAATGATATCGGTACCCAAGCGACCTCCGTGATTTGTTGTTCTAAGGCCAATCTTAACCCACTGTAGCTGGCGTCACATTTGATTATTGATTTTCTTTTGGGATCGTAGTGGTACATCATGATGATATCCGGTATTAGTTTCAATGTAGCTTCGAATTATTCTTGTTGGCTCTTATCCCAAATGAATTTCTCTTTGTCGGATGATGTCAAGGATGGGCAGAACTTTTCCGTAAATAATTGTAGGTTAGGTAGGAAATGTTGGAGTTGGTTAAGTACGCCCATATAGGATCTTAGTTGCTTAAGAGTTCTTGGAGGTTTCAGATCTAGAATGGTTTGAACCTTAGAGTGTTTAGGTGATACCAATCTATAGCCTAGGTGATCGATGTCGAAACCCAGCCAAGAGATCTTTTTTACTGAAAACTCGCATTTCGATAGCTTCATTGCCTTTTGAATCTCTCTAGGCATGTCTGAAAGCCCATAAAAACCGGTTTTGAAGTGGTAAGTACCTGTAGCGTCTCCACATACAGTGTTAAATTACAGTGGTTACTGACCAAATCACTTAGTTGGAGCTGACTAAAAGCATATTTAAGATCTAAAGAAGTGAAAAGTACTCCACCCGGTAAGTTAGAATTGATTGTTTGGGCTGCTACGTCCAGTTGTTTTAGGAGATTTGGCATATGATATTTTTTAAAAATCTGAGCCTTTATGGGTTTTGCGTCCATTGCTATTTTCACTGAACCATCTTTCTTTGCCGTAATAATCACAGGTGCTACAAAAATTCGCTGGTACAGTTGCTCAATTTGATTATATGGCCTTCTCTGATCAGACGTTTGATTTCCTCTCTAACTTTCTCTTGAATGTGAATAGGGATACTTTGTATTTGTTTGAGTAAAAATTCTTCCAATGTGTGGATGTTTCCGCCATGTCAATTTCTTCGACCTCTAAAAAATCCTGAAGGCGTGATTTGGTTGTTTTGACCCCTATTACACCTTGTTAATCTAGCCCTAGTAGACATCCTTCCTGTTTTCAGATATTAGGAGTTTGGATAGTTTGACTTTCCAGCCTAATGATGATATGTCTGTTACTAGTGTTCAAAATATTTAGATCGGCTTGTGGTTTTAATCAACATAAGATATGTCAATAGGCAATGATAGTTTAGGGTACATTTTTAGATTTTTAATTGTCGTTAAAAGGAGGTCCGCTGTATTCTTATTTACAAACGAGGCTGGACTGGTTGTATCTACAGTGGCTTTGAAAAATGAGTTAATTATCTTTTAAGGTAACTTGGAGAATTTTGATTTTTCCCGAAGGCGAGTTTATTACATCCAGTTTTTTGATTGAGACTAATTTTGGAACTGATAAAATGTGTTTTGCGGGGAATAGGTGTTCCCTCGGTGAGACTTTTGAGATAGTGAGTTGGTGACTAGTTCCTGAAATTTTCAGAACGCCAAACTCTGATTCGCTGTCGGACGCAATGAAGTTTATATCTTTTTCTACAGTAGAATCTGATCATTATCTACATTATTTACATTTTGGGGGAATCACAACATCTGGCGAAGTGTCCCTTCTTGTTACATGATTTGCAGATTACGCCCCTAGCTGCGCATGATGATTTATGATTGGGAGAATAATCCTTGCCGCAGAAATAACACGCTTTCTGATTTGCTTTTTGTTTGGTTGGTTTGTTTGCTTTACCGAATGTACAGTTCTGATTTTTGGCACGGTTCATTCTGTTTTGTAGGTTCTTTTTCTGAACTGATAGTGTAGGTTCTTGTTTGGCCATGAATTGGTTAATTGAGTTCTGAATTGTGTAATTTAAGTTGAAGTTGTTTCCCATTTGTTTTTGTAGAGTAAAAGCTGTTGTGTAGCCTGTTTCTTGTTTCTTGTAGCCTGGATCTAAGCGTTTCCTCTGGGCAATTTCCCGGGTGGATACAAAGTTCTCTCTGGATATCTTTGAACTTCATATTTGCAATAAATATATCTCGAATTACCTCTTTCTCGATTGCGACTGACCATCCGCATAAAGCCGCTCGACCTGAGAGTCTTAGGAAGAATGATTCAAGACCTTCCCTGTCAGCTTGGTTGGTGTTGTAGAGGTGCATGCGTTCTACAATGAAATTTTTCTCCTTTTTAAATAAACCTTCACATTGGGCGAAAAATTCCTTGAAGTTTATATCGAATAGGAAAGTGTGAGGGAAGCCCTGGAGAAATCGTGTCTTTCCTTCTGTTCCTTGTGCAAAAAAAGGCGTGATTTGATTCGCTTGTCAGCTTCGCGATAAAATATGTTTTGTCCTAACTTGGGACCTTTCTTCCTCCTTTCAATATTAATTTCGATCCTTTTTCTGATTTCTGCTTGGTGTATTGCGACCCTGTTGTTTCTTTCTGTTTCGCTTTCTGACTCTGGAATCCTTTCCGGTGAAGGAGGGGTCAAATACCTCGGCGGGATCGGCTAAAAGGTCTTTATGGTCAAATTGTTCTCGAAGGTTAATTGCTAAAAAGAATTGACCAATCCAGATTTCCCATGAAAACGGTGGGTCTGGGGATGGCATGGGCCAAAATACAGGTACCCCCAAAAAATCAGTCCGTTCCTCGTGGGTCAAAACTGCTGGCTGCGCCATGAGAAGAACTAAACTATCTGCTAAAAATTAATGGATAAAACTATCTTAAAAGGTTGAATTAGAATTAGTTACGAATGATTAGTTGCATTGAATGAAAGTTGAGAACTGTAATCTTTCAACAGTATCAAAGGAGTGGTCTTTTTAGTTAGTCCATGAATAATAGTTGGCGGCAGACCTGTCCCGATCTTGACCTTTAGTGATATCAAACATACATATAATGGACTGCTCAATATGACCTTGACTGCCGTACCACAAGGGAAGCACATTTTTCAAAAATTGGTCAACAATTTTGCTGACTTTTTTTAGGTCGAACAAATTGATTTTCCATGCTCACCCGGAGCACTAAAGAGACCTTGTTTTAGCCAAATTTCCTGCTCCGCAAGCAAGATTTTGAAAAAAAAACAGGCCAAAAGGCGTTTTTAAGCATTTTGAAAGTTTCAAACACTTTGAAAAAATATTAGGGTCCGTCAGCCGAAAATGGATATCTCAAAATCAAAAAAGTTTAAAGGGGGCCCTTTGGGTCGGCAATGGTTCGATTTACCCCTAAATCCGCTACTACATTCAACTCTTTATGGGGAACTGCTGCTGTGCACCTGGTCAAATAATACACTTTTTTGCTTACATGAAATTTCTACCCATCGCTAAATTGTTCGGAAAAAAGGCTCTTTAAAACTGTTGCTTATGCGAGGTATGTGTACGTGTCGGGGGGAGGGGGTGGTAGGGGGATTGAGGTAGATCTGACTAGAATTTCTATAATATTCAAACTCTTGATGTTTCTGTTGTCCAGGAGGCATTGGAACAACGACTGGCGGAGACTGGATTCATCGTTCTGCAGGTGGTCTGCCCCGGGGCTGTCCCGATGGCGCAGTTGTGTTGAGGAACTGCACGAGTGCGTGGGTGGATTCGGCAACCACCTCTCAGATTGTGGTGCACTGGAAATATCCTTCGGATGCGGACGAACAGAGTGGATACTTAGTGGTAGGGACAAATTATAATCATCATAATGACAAACAGAGTATCATCATCATAATCATAATAATCATAATAAATAAGTGGTAAAAATCATCATAAAAATCATCAAATCGGAACAAAGACTTTTTCGGGTTAAAAACTAGTTTAGCAAAATCACTTGAATCACTTGGCAAGTCTGTTTTGATGAAATGTCTAGCAAACAGATATTTTTGAGCGTGGCTGCATTTTAAATAGCTGTTCTGTTTTCCATTTTTTGCTGATTTTTTTCGTTTTTCGGTTTACAGTTTTTTTGGCTGTAGTGTATCTGACTGATTTTATATCTGCTTAGTTGCCTTCCTAATTCGTCGTTTGAAGGACCAAAATATTTTTCCAATTTTTTGTGCTTCATAAGGAGAGTAAAATTTGGAAGACAAATTTTAGTTATGCATCACTGGCTATTGGGTTTCTCTGCACCTTTCCTCAAACTGAACTGCCTTCGATACGAAAACTGAACATAGAAAAGGTGTAATCGCTTCTGTGTAATCATGATAATCACAATAATTACAAAAATAACCAAACAATGTTTCTTGATAATCATAAGAATCATCATAATGAACGTCCAAATAATAATCGTAATATTCTTAAAATCGGAATTGTTTAGAAAAATCATAATACACAGTTTTGAGAGGATATACTAATCAAAGTATTCCAATTGCGCCGACATGAGATTCTTTTTGACAAATCGATATATAGAGTTCGATTTTGGGTTTTTTTTCAGCTTCCTAATAATCTAGTTATCTTTACAGAAAAAAAGCACTTTAAAACTGTTCAAACGGCAATTTGCACATCTGAAAATTTTCCTAAGAACAGTTCAAATATATATGCTTCAGATGATTTTCAAAAATATTTAGACTGATTTTACAAACAATGGTTGGGGAACGTGTGGATCGATCAGTGTGCTTCCCACAAGCTCAAAGTTGGTTGTAATTGCTTCATTGATAGTTGTTAGTTAAATTGCGCGCATCAATTACGCATGATAATATACCCCGCATTCATAATCGCTCCAAATTGTACTTAGGTCATAGTAAATGATCATATTAATTCCACTCAAACCTTAGCACTTTACTTTTGATATTAGCAACCAAAAATTGTATATTTTCAAAACCTAAATTAACAAAAGCTATTCGAGATCAATTAGGGGTCAGTCGGAACATACAGAGCTTTATCCTGAGATACGAGCAGTCTTGTTTACATATATTGGTACAAGTGTGATAGAGTGGTCAACAGAAATTAACGAGTCCCAATTGTAAATACTGTGCGTCAAAATTGTTCAATTTATTGCCTCGGTGATGTCAACTAACTAAATTAGCACACAAGAAGCAGGTGAATTACGTTTTAGAAAAAGTCTTTTAAACGACTGAGTGGCGTCTTTTGATTTACCTGATTGCTATATTTGTTGACATACGGCATAATTCAGGTGAAAATCGTCAAAATGCTCTCAGTTCTTAGCATGTTTCAGCTAGGGATATTCAGTTTTGGACTTTCAATTGGTTTTTTAATTGCAGTTTCAAGGTACGAGATCATTAATAGCACCTGATGAATCTTGTTAAATAACTCACCTCCACCAGTTTTTGAGCTCAATTTTTACATAAAGTCAGTCAAACAAGTTTTAAAAAGTTTGAATCGCCATTTTTTTCTTCAAAAAACTGTTTTCTAAAAATTGTTTAGTTCACGATGAGGAGCCCCAATTTTCCAAATTTTCATTTTTAGGGGGATTTTAGGGGACCTCTCAACAAATTGCTTGCAATTTTTTTTCTATTACACCTTGCGAGAGCTGTACATGGAAACATTTAAAAGATGGTTTTCACGGTTTTCATGGTTAACAGGAAACACTGGGGGACATAAACCAGAAAACATGTGTATCTGTCTGTGTAAAAATCTATCATGACATAAGGACTTAATTTCACAAATTAATCGTTCTGACTTGAATGCTTTTGATTAGTTACCACCCGCATCCAGTTTCAAGCGTTATTAATCGATTATATAACGATTTTAGTACCAGTCTCACTAAAATTGAGAAACAATCGATTTTAATCAATTATTAATCGATTATAATCTCTTTTTTTTTCAAATCAAATTATAATTAATTATAATCCATTATAATCGATTATTTATTCGTCTATTTTTCGATACAATTATAATCGATTATAATTGATTATAATCCATTATTTTTATTCAAAATTCTATTTCGTTAGTTTTGCACAAAAATCCATTATAATCGATTATAATTGATTACAATCCCTTTTGTTTGTCCATTTTTGTCTTCGAAGTTGCATCTAAATTGCTTATATTTTATGCTTTTTGTGGACGTTGGTTCCTATGAAGAATGAGAGAAAATTTTTCAAAGTTTTCCAATTAATTCATATTTATAAGTTTTTTTTCCATTTCTTCCCCATTAGAGTTGTTTTGTGATGCATATTTTGAGCTTTTATTAACACCAAAACATCAGCAAATTGATTTAGTTTCATGATTGATTCGGAAAAATTATCTTTCATCTACCGCGAGAACCTTTCCAGTCATATGAAAGGATCTCTGTGAAACTTTTGTTTCGTGGTAAAACTTTGTGTTCAGATGAACCAAAGTGTTCAAGAGATCTCTCTTTTAGAGATTTTCTTATTGACACAAAAGTAATAACCCATAAGATACAATTCGAAAATAGGAAAATTCCGGCAAAATAAGAGATTATAATCGATTATAATCAATTATAATTGATTTTAGGGGTTTTTAGTAAGAACTATAATCAATTATAATCGATTATAAAAGATTATAATCTCTTGGAAAATATCACGATTATAATCAATTATAAATCCCTTAAGGACCTAATTTTGGTAATTATAATTGATTATAATTGTCAAAAAATCATCATAATAATCCGTTATAATCGATTATTTACGCCTAAACTTGAATGCGGGCACTCACATAAAAATTACTGCCTTTTAAAATCAATGTTGTAGTGTTTGCTTAAAAAAGTATTGGATTGCTTTCTTCGAATTTTTGAAAACCAATGCCCACATGCTACGTAAAGATCAAAACGATTTAATTAGCAATTAGCAAAGGATTGAAAACAATAAATAGCTTGCCTCAATTGAATTTGGAATCATTTCTGAGACGGCATAAACCACCGCTTACGCGTTAAAAGCAAAAAATAAATCGCGCGTTAATAACACCAAATTGGCATTCTTAAAACCGCCATAATTTTACAAAAAATTTTATCAGATGAAATGTCGTGTTGAGTTTGAAATCAAGTCAACAACACCTTTCAGCTGACACAAAACTTGTCAGTTTCATCAAAAATTGCTAGCTAAAATATGAAATTTTGTCTGGTGAAAACAAAACTACCGATCATAAATATTCCGTCATTTAAAAAAAAAATTGAAACAATATCTTGTTTTGAACCAATTATATAAGCAAAAATCACTTGTTTTTATTCCTTCTTCCGAAGAAATATGCGGAATATTTGAGCTCGGTTGTTTTTTCTCTCCTAACAAATTTTGACTTTTTAACTATCAATTTGTGACGTAATTTTTGTTCCAACCAAAAGTTATTGTTGTCTTGAGCTCAAACTGAAAAAATTATATTTCATCTGTGATATTTTTGTGAAATTAAAAAATTAAAGGGGCTTAAAGGCTACCAATTTGGCCAATTTTGGGACAATTTACATGCAATAAAAATCGCGCTATTAACGAGTAAGAAGAGATTTAATCCCTTTTAGAGAAATTTCCAAATTGAATTGAGGCATGCTATTGTGACTAATTTAGAAAATTCTATAAGCAAAATAATTTACACTGTACTTAAAATGGCGTATGGGGGAAAATATTTCCAAAAAAATACGAATTTTTCAAAACTTTTTTTAAAAAACTTCATCGGTTTGGTAATTTAACACTTCTCTTCAGATCCTTAAATGCAGTAAAAACATTCAGGGCTTTGCCCTGATACGATCAGTTTTGTTTATGATTAATATAGATCTGAGAGGACACCCGAAAATTTTCTGTTGAAATCTGAAGAGGGATGCCTCAGAAAGCAGAAAAGTAGTGAAATATCTCCATTTCACTACAAAAATATCATTTTTGTTACAAAAAGTTATATTTTGAAGTTTTATATCATAAGAAGAAAGTGCCCAATCAGCCCATGTCTCGGGAGATCAACAGCACAATTAGCCTAATAATTCAAGTTGATTTCCAAAAATTTCATCAGAAAAGATCCGAACAAGCCAAACAATGACCCAAGAAGCCAGTCTCGCTGACAATTTAGTCTTTTGCTTACAAAACTTGAAAGTTGATTGGCCCGAAATATGAGCCAAATGAAGTACCAAATGGTGGCTAATTAGACGGAATTCATGAGGTTTGCTTTTTAAATCATTCAAACGATAATCAGTTTTTTGTGTTTCAATTGACTAATAAATAAATAACGCTGAAACGTCTTTTTATAATTGCGGTATGTTCACATATGCAATACTAAGAGCGATTAAATTTCGGAGCGATGAAAAAGTTTGACAATTAGTCGTTTCAAAATGCCACATGAATCTTCATTTAAACATTTTTTTCAGGGATCGCAGGATTTGGTTATTGAGAACGAGGCCGACGTCGGTCAGTCTGAAGTGATGAATTCGGACGTGGTTGTTTTCAGTGGCGTTTCAGCCATCGAGCGCAGATATGTGTTCGATTCTCTCATACCCGGGATGCGCTACAACATCATAATACAGTTAGAAATTTTACATATGTGTGAATCACATTGTCTAAGGTGGCCTTTCTAGTTACCACTTCAGCTTAGCTGTAAGTTAGAAATCTCATAATTAATATTCAACTGCTTTTGAAACCATTTTGAACGGTGTTTCTCATAAATCAACGAACATGTACTCTGTACCATCAAGAATGTGAAACGGTTAAAAATAGTTCAAACGAAAACTTCATTCTAGTTTTCTCTGAAATGCAGAATTCTTTTTTGGTATGTGAATTAAGCCGGGGAGTTAGGCCAGGAAGTTACACTTTTCAAAAAAGCATTATATCGAAACATTTTCTGTGGCAAAAAATTGCATTTAAACTGATTTGGAATTTTCTAGAGCTTTCTTCAAGAACAGCTTCAAGATCCAAGTTCCTCTGCAAACCGAAGAAACCGTTGAACCTGCAAGACCCGCTCTAAAGTCTGCCGAATCGTTCGAAAAGAGTATGATAGTCAACTGGACGCTAGAAGGAGTCGCAGATAACTACCATATATGGAATACTCCTGGCGATGGTATCTGTGCTGGATCTCTTGAGGGGTACTGTGAAGTTGATGTGCAGCAACATAGCCTGCAAATATCTGAATTGGTTGCTGGAGAAGGTACTGATACAGCTTTGTATATATTTTAGGGGGACCCCCTCCCCCCTCCCCCCTTTGAACTATTTTCAGATATCCATTTTTTGGCTGAC